TCCAAAAATAAACACATTCACTCAGCAAGGACTTGTGACTCGTGAAAAATTATCAGGGTTTTGTGCTTTCCTAACTCACATTATAAAGCCTTCCCACGCAAATGCAGCCCTGTTTCACTTGTATCTTCTCATCAGCTTGTATTATTTAAAACATGTGGGACATTCACACAGATGGAAAAGGAAAAAAAAAATAGGTCAGGCTGGAAACAAAAGCCAAGCCATCCTGTTTTATTAGCAGCTTAAACATGCAGAACTGTAATTTGAAATTCCAAGGAAAGCAACATAATGAAAACATTCTGAACACACAAATAAAAAAATAAAATAAAAAAACCTACTGCAAATCGCTGCTACCCTAAATTGCCAATGTTGCCAAATGCCTTAAACTAAAAAACAGAACTGATAAGAAGGCTTCTCCAGCTGATATGAAAATGCACAGAAATAACTACACTGCTCAGAGATCATATGGAATCTCGGCTATAAATCCAGGATTTTTCTAACATCAGCAGCCTGTGTAACAGTCCAGCACCTTTGAAATACTACTGGACAATAAACAATTTGCAAAATCTTGTCCTTTCGTTTGCCAAGATCCTACTCTTAAGTAAATTTATTCCTTTCCTTGAACTGACATCACAAACCCCAGAAACATTTATTCCTTTCCCCTTTATCTGCTGCACAACCCCAGTATTTACTACCAGAACACGTAAAGCCCAAATCAGAGCAGTGAATTTAATTTAGTTCTTCAAGCTGAATGTCCCAAACATCATTTGATTGCTGCCACCTATTGTTGTTCCAAACATGTTGCAAGGAGTTAACCCTTTATCCAGCAGCTACTGGAAGTCATGCTGGAAATAATTCTGCCTCAGCTGCTGCTAAATATGCAAATAAATATGCAAATAAATATGCAACTGCATAATTAGCATCTATTTGGGTGTGATAATTGTAGAAAGAATGAATAAAGGTTGAAAATTAAGGTGAATTATATATATATAATATATTTATATATTTATATATATATGCATATGTAAAAATACACACTGTTAATTACATTATTTATTTTATATCTATTTTAATATATACCAATATATGTTTTTTATATTATATATAAAATACATTATATAGTATATCTTATATGTTATATATTTTATATATATATTATATATAAAATAGATATGATATGATATGATATGATATTATGTTATATGTATTATAAACACACACTGTTTATTGCATTATTTATTTTATATCTATTTTTTAAAAATTACACACTAACTTCTCCGTTAATTCAAGACTTGGCCTTTCCCTCACAAGAGAAGTAAATCTGGAACATTCATTTCTCACACAGCCCATAAAAAATGGTAATTATAGGTTGCCAAAGGCCACTTAATTCTGTCTCCTCCTAAACACACACAGCTTCTCAATGACATCATGTTCAGGCTCATCTAAGAGGTTAAAGGACACAAAAACTATCCAGTCTAGTTTAGTCTGCTGAGTTTAAGTATTTAAACAGCAATGTGAAATTTGAGGGGTTGTTTCAAAATAATAATTTTCCAAATTTGGTATAAATAAGTGAAAATTGTTTAAAAAAAAACCAAAACACATGGGGGACAAAAGACCTCCTCCCTCAAACAGGAAAATGGTAAATTCCAGAGTGGTAAATTATTTAGCTCCAGAATCCCTCTTCTATAAAATAAGGGCCTTCCAGAGCAGCAGGGAATATTCCCAAATCCTGTCCCTTTTCCTTTCAGAGGAATGAGGGATTTGTCATTACAAAGCTGTGGGTCTGCTGGTAGATAAAACCAGCACTGGGAGATAAAAGAAACAATGGGAAGGATTCCACTGATTGATGAATGGAAAAAGAGATTTGCTTTTACAAATAAACTTTAGGTGGGCTGATAAATGAAATTAGGTAGTGGGGAAGAAAAACCCCTAAATTCCATGAGAATTAAAAGTTAAAAGGGAGGGTTGTACATTAGAGGGGAATCTTTGGGATCAGGTGTTCTGGGAAGTCTGAACCTCTCAAGTACCTCAGAAATGGGGGAAAACCCCTAAATTCCATAAGAATTAAAAATTAGAAGGGAGGCTTATACATTAGAGGGAAATCTTTGGTATCAGGCATTCTGGGAAGTCTGTACCTCTCAAATACCTCAGAAATGGGGGAAAAACCCCTAAATTCAATGAGAATTTAACATTAAAAAGGGCAGGCTTATACATTAGAGGGAAATCTTTGGTATCAGGCATTCTGGGAAATCTGTGCTTCTCAGGTACCTCAGGTAATGGGGTTCTGAGTTTTAGGGATTGTTGGTATTGGGTTTGTAACCTCTGTTATTTTTGGTTTTTATAAGTAATACTGATAAATAATGATTGTTGTTAATGTTATATGAATACTTTGAAAAGCTTGTCTTAATCCCTTCAAACACTTCCGGTTGATTAGTTGATTATATAATGTGAGTTCTTCTTCTTCTTCTTCTTCTTCTTATTATTATTATTATTAAGAAGAAAAAACCTTCTTATTGGTAAGAATTATTATTAAGGTATTGTTGTAGTATTTACAGCCAGCTTTCATGTGTTTTACTGTTTCTTGATATGATCATTTACAAGACATGTGTCTCTTCAGGATCCTGTATTTTTGTTTCTTAAGTACTCATATGTTTGGTTTGTTTTTTATTTTAAATCCAGACTGCCAGTTCTGTGGTTTTCTTCAGTTATTATTACAGACATAGTCCAGCAGAGAGTTCAGCTGTAACATTAACTTCTTGGTTTTTTGAGTTTCAATTTTGTACTAGGTAATCAATCTTTCATTCAGCTGCATTTTCTCCCCCTTTACACTCTCAGTATCCAGATCCAAGCTCATTATCCTGACTGACCAGTTTCAGAGGGAAATGTGGCTGGGAAACTGGGATAAATGTGGGAATCCACAAAATCAGAGGGTTTTGGGAAAGCTGCAAAAGGCAGGCCCCAGAGACAGGAGAACTGTGATTGGAGCTAAGCAGCAGCCATGAGATTGGTCTGCAGAAAAATTATTTAGACTGTAGAAAAGTAAGGACAATCAGGACAATGGTGTGTGTATTAATGCTTGTCTAGAATAACTCTCTAAGGAGCAGAAAGTTTATCTAGCAAGATATTATGAAGTTCTAAGCTTAATAATGGAGCTCTGTGCATTGTGTTTAAGGCTCACAAGCAGGTATTGTATTCAAAATAAGCAAGCATTGTTTCAACAAAAGGTACCTGTGCTTACAGTGGTTGGATGGAATTACTGTCAATGTGCTTTTGCTTTGTGTGATTGGTCAAGAAGCTTATAAAGTGAGTTGTAACATTAAGTTCTGGATCTGCTGCCTCAGATGTGAGCTGCTGGCATCTTCCCATTGTCATAACCATGGAATGAGACTGATGCTGGAAAATCAAACAGCTCAAGGCATGTTCCTCAGCAGCCCTGTCCCCTCCATGGTCTGTAAATAACCCCCCTGCCAGCAATAATAAAAAGAAGCTGTGCCCTCCAAAAATCTGAGAGATCCCAGGGGAATGCCCCATGGTCTCTCCCTTTATTGGAATAAAGTAAAAGCACTCCTCTGTCTCCTTTTTTGGAGAGAAACCTCTGGTGTTTGTGGATTAATTTTCCTGACACCTTTAAGCCATGAGCGGCCACACGTGATCCTTGGCTGGCCACACAGGGGGAAGCCCTCCCCTTCCTCCAGCTCTGCACATCTCCTGCTCCATCCCACGGCAGCAAGAGATCCCTGCCACCCTCAGTGACAGCCACAGGGAAGTTCCAACAGGCAGCAGGGACAGCTGGAATTGCTACCGGGAGGGAGCGCACAAACATGGCTCCTGCTAGAATCCGATTTCTGCCCCTGGATTTGGGAAAGCAGAGCATAAAAACGACTAAAAAGTGTCATTGTGGAGGGGAGAGAACACCTATTCCTTCCAGCAGCTGTCAGGAAATTGCATGTTAAATGCCAGGCGAGGTGAATCCATGGAAAGCTCCCTCCTCTGCCAGCAAAACTCGGCTCTCTGACACACAACAAAAACATCCCTGAGATTTACACACAGCGATGCACCCCAGCCTCTGCAAGCCAAAACAGAGCTCGAGTGCACCCTGCTCAGGCTCTGAAACACCCTCCTCATCTGCTCTTTCCCCCTCTTAGCTCTTAGCATAAAGAACCAGGAGTGAAGATGCTCATGGCTCCAATGCCAAGGAGCTGTGGGACAGGGGGAGTCAGAGATGTCCTGCAGCCTGAGATGCAGAATTAACAGCTGGATGGACATCTGGAAGCTGGTCTCACCCAGGGAACAGGCAGAGAGGGGAAGAGAAACAGGAAGAAGGGGAGGAGAAGACAAAACTTGCTGGATTCCCTCAGATAAAAGTCAACCCTGCACTCACACAGAATATGAAGAGAGGATGTTGTGGGAAGCACCTGGCAGCTCCAGCTCTCCCAAGAGCAAGTGAAATGAGCTGTTCACCTTAATTACACCTTCTGAAGGGGAGCTGCCTGCTTTCTGGACAAGAAACTATTTAATTACCCCAAGAAAAACAATTTGCAAAGACATCAGTGCCAGCTAGGCAAGGCCTTGAGGTGCAGACAGCAGAACCTCGGGAAGGCTCTGAAAAAAAAACTCTCCCTCTACTTTTCTTCTACTTTTTATTTCTATTTTTCTATGCTATTTCTTATTTTATTTTTATTTCTTTCACTATTAACCAGACCAGCTCACCTGGGTTAGACTCATCATTATTTTCCAGGGTAAATGGGAAGCCTCATAAAACAGCATCCAGCAGAGAAATCCTGTTCTTACAGAATATTTACCCACTTAGGCACAAAGCTTAAAATCAGAGGTTGCAATGAAGATACTTCTCTTTACAGAAATGCCCAAGAAAACCTGGGCAATTCAGTAAATATTTGCAAGCTGCACAAAGACAAGCCATGCTTCAGAAGTCAGCAAAAAAAAATCAAAGATCAGATTCAAAACTGACTCATCCATTTAGATATTTTATGCTGTCAAAGTGTTACATACATGGCCTTGAAATTACCCACCTCTTATCATTCTCCAGCCTGTCCTGATGGAATAATTAAGCAGCTCAGACTGCTGAGTGTTATTTTTTTTGCTTCACAAGATGCTGAGATGCTATTTTAAATTCGACACCTGCCATCCTGAGGGCTGAACTTACTGTTGACAATGTCACCCTGCAGCTGGAGAATCTGTGGGACAGGCATGGTGAGAATTACCACATCAAACTGCTCCGGGGGCCCAGCTTTCCTGGAGACTTCCCACCTGCCATCCCGCAGGGAAATGTGAGTTACGTGCTGCTCATAGGACACCTCTGCACCTGGATGGGGGAAAAAGCAGCAGATAAATACCTCACAGCAGGGAATTCCACAGGGAAAATGTACACAGAGAGAGTTATTGCAAGGGGGACAAGGGGGAATAGCTTCCCACTGCAATTATAGCTAATTATTTACAAGACCAGGGTTTAAAACAATCAGCTGACTAAAAATAAAAATTAAAACAATTGCATAAAGGGACCAAAGTTTGACTGCTCTCATGGCTCAAACTTTGCTAAACAGGGTTAAATTAGTCATTGAACTGTACATGTGGTTGTGGCACATGACATCTAAGGTAGTAGTTAGAAAGTTTAAACTCATTTTCCATCCAAGGTAGTAGTTAGAAAGTTTAAACTCATTTTCCTGCTCCACCCAGCAGGCTCACATCCTTCCCCCAAAACACAGGGTGCAGCTCACCCCTCTGCCCCCAGTTACACAGCAGATATTCTATTTGCATAAAGACTTTTATACCTGCAGGACCTGGAAATTCACCGAGCTCACAGACACTTTAATCCACCCAAGCGACTTCCAGACACACATAAACCAACCAGGAACACAAACATCCTCATCAGGGATGTAAATTCGAAAGGCACCGCCAAAAACACAGCCGTTAAAACCTTTCCCTTCGCACAAAGGCACCCAAAGGCGTTACCTGACTGCTCCAAATAGTACTTGACAACCGAGGAGATGCCCTGGGGTGCCACGAAATTGCGGGAGCCTTCTCTCTCCACCAGTCCCTCCACGGGAGCCGTCAGCGACTTCAGGATGCCGTGGGTGACAAGCTCCTCGTAGAAGCTAGAAGGGAGAAATCCACAAGGAAAT